TCCGATTCTGCTTATCGATTCCGGTTCTTATCGATTCCCCCGTTTCGATTCCAAAATTGTAAAAGAAAGAGGTCAAATGTTTAGATAGCAAAAATATNAATACACATGCTGCTCACTGTTTGTAAAAGTAAATAAATAGTATTTTCATTTCAATAATGTACTTTCTATACCCTGCTTCATAAACAATACTGACATCCCTGTGCTCCTCCGAGTCTGGGGGTCCGGGGATGTGAGGACAGCGCGAAGACACAGACAGGGAGGCTGCTTTACTTCATAAAGAAGATGGCGGTCAATATTAACAACGTAGGAGCTAAAACGCTTAATAACCTTCATTACGTGTTCGAGAAAGAACATAAGAAAGGTTGACAAAGATGAGGCTGTTAAACGGGCAGCGGAGCCGCTGTGTGTAGAAAGAGAGAGAGAGAGAGAGAGAGAGAGAGAGAGAGAGAGAGACGCTGAGCTGCACCTTGCAGCGATCAGCTGATACGGAGCATAGAGAGAGAGAGAGCTGCGGTCCGCGGGGCTCGGCCTCCTGTCCTCACAACTCGTATTAATCCCGGCACCGGAGATGCATTTCCTTAGGACTCGACAAGCAAAATCACAACAATGGCGGACACGGACAATTTGCGAATGAGTTCTGCCTTTTGTAAGGTGAATTTATTAATCATTTGTCAATAAATAAGGGCGAAAAACGTCACTTGTCCATCGAACAAGTCAATTGAAAGATCGACTTGTCCAATATTGTAAATAGAACGTCCCGGACAGTGGGACGTGTGCTTTTTCGCACACTGATGCGGAGAGACTAGTCCGACACAAAGTCTCACTGACAGCCCTCTTTGTCTGTTCCACGCCAGAATTCTGCAGCATTTATAGAGTATCCATTTCAGAGCCATGTCTGTAACACTGTGTAAACTGTAACACTGATTACACTCTCAGAAATCAACGTAAACAGTGAAAGTCCAGAAGTCTCCCAAGACAGTGACCTTTCACACAAATGATTTAAACAACATGAAAAACTTTGGCCTGTGTTACTTAATGCACAGCTGGGATACGCCCAGCAGCCATGACTTTGTATGGACACATGCTCCATCTCTATATACAGACAGTGTACTGTAAACACAACAATAGCACGCCCTTGAGATAAATGTTGTAAACTCTGTGCTTGAGATCAGCATTATAAGTGGCCTGCAGGCACTCACTGCTCTTTTAGCTTCACACAAATAAACATGTGATTAATCTCAGATATGGGCATGCACTGTAGATTAGCCCTGACCCCCACCCAAACACACAGAGCGGCCCTGAGGGTAGTTTCCCATAAGAAGCAAAACCCCCATCTGAGCATCATATTGCAATCATTTAAAGCCCCACTTCTGAAACACAACTAGCTAATTATGGCGTCTGCATAACTTCAACCCCCTCCCACATACATTTTCCATGCTATGTCTACATCTGTTGCACTCAACACTCGGATACCTGACCCAATTCTTTTTCCATGCTATGGGGCTGTGTCCACATCTAACACATTCATTGCTAAAAATAAGATTGTTTTACTCCTCTTGTTAGGCTGAACAGACCAATGCACCAGGGTTTCTGTGGGTAGAAGTATTCATCTTCTCCACCTGCACTGTTTTAATGGACACTGCATGTTGGGGTTAGAAATGTTTCAAATCACTCTGGAGTTGTGCTTCTATTAAAGGCTGAATATATCATTGCTAAGTAAACCACCTCCCAGATGTAATGTCTTTTCCCATGTTATGATATGATTGACTTAAATTCACTTAATTGTGTCAACCGAACCTATATGAAGCACAGTATAAAGAAAAATAGATTATCTTGAATATTAGACAAAGAAATGAGAGCATACCTCTGCTTCTATGTCAGTGTCGGAACTTTGTAATAGAGTTGTCGATTCATTCTCTGCTTTAGAGCTCCTTTCTGACTCTAAGAAAGGGTCTGCTTGACAAGGTGATGACCCTGCCTGGGTCTCGTCCTCCTGAGGCCTACAGCCCTCTGTCTGGCTTGTCTCTTGCTGTGTAAATAGGCTCTGAAGCAGGCCTGGCTCAAGCTGGTCCCAGATCTGGTCCGTGGACATGAGTGCAGGAAAGTCCAAAGCTGACCCGTCTGACTCCCAGTCACTGTCCCCGGTCATAGAGCCGAGGACAAACTCCACTCCATCCATCCCAGACGCGGTCCCTTCAGAGTACGAGTCCAAGTCCATGTCCTGAGTATCTTCACAGGCTGAGCAGGCATCTGAGGGGCCAGGCCGGTGCCGTTCAGGTGCTGCCATGTAAACAAAGCTGTCAGGGGAAAGCAAGGCTCCTTCCTCCTCTGGGTCAGGGCAGCAGGGAGGTTTGGGGACAGGACTGGGGGGAATGGAGTCCTCGAGTGGAGACGGGGGACATTCATTGAGGAACTGGGGAGGCGCAGATACAGCCAGGTAAACAAAACTATCTGATATCACAAAGGCCTCTGAGTCTTTAGTGTCCAACCCAGCACCATTAGAACTTGATTTACACGGGGACTGAGGTAAAGAGGAACCGGGTGCGGAGTCTGTATATTGAAGGAGAGGAGTAGACTCTGATGTTGGGGTGCTAGCTGTCACTTCTTTTGAAGTTTCCAGATCTGAGCTTTGAAACGTGTCAAGTCCTGAGACTACTTCTGTAAGGACAACAGCAGCCTCTGTCCCTTCTGTGTCACAAGTTATTTCCACAGCAGGGCGGCTGATCTCTGAGGGGATTGGATCTTCTTGACAGGAAGTTTGAACGTCAACATCCTGTGTACATGCATTGTGGATTTCTGCTTCAACTGTGTGAAGAGGCTCAGGGGAGTGATCCATGAGAACTCCCTCGCTACCATCCAAACTTGGCTCAGATTGGTCATACACATCCCACTCTGCTCCTAACTCCTCTTCCTCTTTCAATTCCTCCGTATCCTGCTCTATCTCCTCCTCCACTTGCCTTGCCTCATCACAGTAAGGGTTCAGAGGGCTACAAGATGGAGAGGAGGCTCTCTCCACACAATCCTTGTCATCGCGATCTGATGACGCCCCGCTATCTGGGTCCGTCTCAGTCCATGCAGGCCCGCCCTGTTCACAGTCGGTGTGAGTAAAGTCACTAACTCCAGTTCTGTCTGGTTGGGACATGTGCACCCCGCTGGAGTCTGACTCCAGTGGGTGACAAAGAGCTGAGTCTGTGTGGAAACTCATCTCTTCTGCCTCAAAGTCAGTGTGATCCTCATTGTAGTCAACATCACACTCTTCATCGATGAAACTATGTTCCCTTTCACAGTCTTGTGCTCGCACTAAGTCAAAGTTTGTCATCTGTTCTATTGGCTCAGATTGATTCAAATGGGAGTCCTTTGTAATATTCTCTAAGCCTAGCTCACCACTACCAGGCTCTAAAGAGTCAACTTCATCTAGAGGAAGAGTCCCTTCATAATATGCACCAGCAGTGTTTGCTTCTTCCTGTATTTCCTCTTCCTCTAAAAAGGGAAATGTGTAGGGATGAAGAGGCTCAGGGTCGACACTCATCTCAACTCCCTCCTCCCCTTCATCTAGACATTGCCTCTCTAGCTCTAGGAAGAGGTCGTCTGACTCGGCCCCTGAACTGGGGCAGGGTGAGGCACTGGGGGCTCCAAACCCAGTGGGGGGAGTTAATACAGGCCAATGTCCAGAAGAGCCAGTTACATCCCATCCCTCTGTCTCCAGTGTTTCCGTCACCCAAGCCTGCTCAATTATCTCCCTGTTCTCTAATTTAAGAACTGCCTCCCACTCTCTTTCCTCTCTCTGAGCTCTCTCGTCCTCCTCTTTATCCCTTTCTCTATTCCATGCCTCCTCTTCCTCAAATATTGTGCTGCACTCTTCATGCTCCTCGTCTTCAAGCTCCTCAAGAATCCTACGCTCGTCCTCCTCAAATTTGAGCTCAGAGGCTGTGCGTTCAAGCTCACTGCCCTCAGCAGCCCAGCCGAGAAGACTCTCCTCACCTCCCTCATGACTTACACAGGGGGAGAGGGGCAGACCTCCATATACTAAGCCCTCCTCCTCCATCAGGAATGGCGATGGAGGGTCGAGTAGATAAAGTGACTCGTCATCTGTGTTGATATCATCCCCCAACAGTGGGGGCAAAGGGGGGAGTGCAGGGAAGTTGTGTCTGAGGCCAACCTGAGTTCTTTTCCCTGATGTTAAACTGCGGGGCCAGGTGCGGGCCTTAGTAGGAGGGCAGAAGACTGGTTTTGGTGGGATCAGAGGGGCACTGTCTCCCTGGTCCTGGTCCAAAAGAGGAGAGTCCCTTTCGGAATCTGAGTTCTTAACTGCCTCAAAAGGCTCCTCTGGGATCTGCCTAAATCCAGCTTTAGAAGAGCTAATAGTCCTTTTGTATTCCTCCATTTTTCTCTCTACCTGTTTCGGGATATTGGGGCTGTGCTGTGGTGTGTTTCCAGAAACCCGGGGTGCCTGATTTGGGCTACCGGCAGGTAATTGTTCTTTGGAAGGCGACGGCACCCTGTGAGTCTGTTTGTGTTGCTTCAGCAGCAAAGGATGAACCTGCTTTAGCCTGCTGAGAGGATGCTGCACGAGAGGAGGCACAGGGCTTGCTGTGGGTGTGAAAGAAGGCGAGGAGGAGACAGGAGGAGTGTGTGGAGCAGATGACAAAGGGGAGGGTGTGTAAGGAGGTAAGGAAGGAGTTAAGGAGGTGGGTGTAGATGGAAGGAGAGGAATCCCTGCCACAGAAAAGCGCTTTTCTGCCCCCTCAACAGACGAGAACTCCAATCTCTCAGCAAACTCTGGATAACTCGCAGGCATAAAGGCTTTCCAAGAGCGGCGGTTCGGATTGTCCCTTTTGTCCCCGCCCTGATGACGCCTCTTGGCCACTGCGGGAACCCCGCCAGAGCCACATGAGGACGGGGCAATTGGCAAACCTGAACCTACAATGCCAACTGGTGGTGACATTATCTGAGGATCACCAGTTAGCTTTAAGGCATCAAAGATAACTCTCTCATCAAGTCTCTTCACTCCACTAGCATGGTCTGCATTCCTAGAAACAAAAACATTACCCAAATCAGCTCCGATGGTGCCATTACTAGATATCGTACTTCCTTCTCCTCTCCCCTCCCCACCAGAGCCTAGAGTACTCCTGGAAGGTTGACACAGTTTGGTCCCTTGGTCAATCTGTTCATTGATGCGCATTGTATCATAAATGGACCGCTGTGGGACGTAGCAATCCTCTATGTATGCCTCATCCTCATCGCCTTTTCCCAGGCAGCGAGGGTTCTGCCTCAGGCAGTCCGGACGGCTCAGAGGTTTCCCCATTCTGTCCCTTTCCCTCCTGCTGGGATACTACAAAAACCCTATAGTTTAAGGTGCAGGTCGCACTGCACAGGCGGAAATGTAATTAAACAATCTTCACAAAAAAGGGATAAAAGAAAAAAGTAAATCCTTCAATAGTCCTTAATCCAATAATCCACAAAATCACACAGTCCATTTGGCTGCATTTAACAAATCCTTCAGGTTTCACATTCTGGCTATTATTCCAAATGTTATCATCCACAGTCAAATTCCACCGGTGTGTGTTCTCTCCTATGTCACTTCAACAGTTGTGCATTTCCTTGGTCTTTCAAAGATGATGTGTGGCATCAGCGAGGGAGTGGGAGAGACAGCCCTCCCCCTCGGCACCATATTAATCACCAGCTCTGTTTATCTGAAAGGCTGTTAGGAATGAGGGAGAGGTGTAAGGATGAAGGGAAAGAGACAGTCATCTTCTTCCTCTCTGTGTAGTACAAAGTCCAAGGTGGGGTAACGACCATGCAGATAACACCCCTTGAGCACAGGTCTCTGCTCCATATTCATGTAGAGCAACTCATTCCATGACCCCCTTTTTACTCGCACTAAGCTTCTGCCTCCTTCCTGTCCTCTCTGTGGCACAACAGGAAAAGGCAGAGAGTGCTTGGACTACTTCAACAGTCTCAGTGAGAGGCAGGCGGGGAAGTGTAAAAGTCTCCTTTTAAGGTGAGAAAACCCACTCTCAGTTATATAAAAGAAAAGCTGCGTGGGGTGCAATGAACAGCAAAGTACAATACTCCATGGATTTCCTTCCTTCCTTATTCTATGGGAATATGAAATCCAGTAAATCAAAATGAAAAAATACAGAAGAATTGTCACTGCTTTAGAGCTTGAGAAAACCCAAGTGGAGTATAATATGAGAATAGAAATCCCTTTACCAAGTCACTGCCACTTTGTGGTTCCGGTGAGTGTTCAAGCAGTCCACAGCTTTTCTTTTTCTATATCCATCACAAAGAAACGGTACTTGTGCCTGCAGGGCAAAACCCTAATTTCGCCTAAGACAGCTCATCACCATCATAACAGTCATCATCAGAGAAAGAAAATCCACTCCATAATCCTCATAACAGAGTGGCATATGAGGAAAATGTTGAATCCAGAACAAAGAGAGTAAGCAGTCCGCTTTAGCGTAGAGAAATCCCTGCCAGTGTTTCAATTATTTTCTTTTATCTTGCTTTCTTCCTCGGATCATCCACAGCTCCAGGGGAGAGGTACAGTAGATCGAAAGCAGGCAGCAGCTTGGAGGGGGTGAGGCTGGAGGGAATGAGGGCATCTGGGGGTAGATAAGAGAAGGGGGGGGGGCTGAGGGTTGGATTCTGGGCCAGGCAGGCGTGCAGGGTAAAGCAGTGAGTCGTGGGACTGTCTCCAGAGGGCAAAGACCCAGACAGCCCTCCCAGCTCCAGTCCAAGCTTTCAGTCAGCGTCTTCCCGGCAGACAATCCCAGGGCACGCTGCCTTGCCTTTCTCTGCCGCCTTCCTTCTCCCGACTCCGTGGTGAGAAGGAAACAAAGTGCCACGCATTCCCAGTTCCTCTATTTCTCTCGCTCCCAGCCTCTGTTCTCAGGCCACTACACAGCTGAAATGGTTTGCAGCTGCTCCCTCTTTTCCTCTCACTCTCGCTCTCTGGCTGCTCCCCCCTCGTCTACTCTCTCTCTTACTCACTCACATGTCCCTACTCTCTGCCTCTTCCTACCTCCCTCCCTGCTCTCTCTCTCTCTCTCTCTGCTGTTTGTGTTTGAATTCAGCTCCGTTTGTTCTGTTTCCTGCACTGGTATTAAAACAGGAAGTGCTCCAATCATGCCGGTTTCCTCTCTCCCCCAATGAAAGAGAAAAACACACACAGAGAGAGAGAGAGAGAGAGATGTGCCTGTGCATGAATTCATGTTAAGGTCAGCATTCAAATGTTTTCAAAACTTTTTGTAAATAAAATAAAAGCAATAAATATATTATTTTTCCGAATAATTTATTTCAGGTACCAGTTCAGTGCCTGATAATAGTTATTGATGCCTTTACATGCCATTATATAAATAATAAGACAATTTGTTCAGAAAAATAACTCAAAAATATATAAAAAGGGATTTTTATTTATGTTATATGAAATATATATATATGTAGTTAGAACATTATTTGTTCATGTTGTCATATTTTTGATTAATTATAAAAATAGTTACAATAATAATATAATATGAATTAATAATACAAATTATAACACTACTACTGCTAACATATTATTATTATTATTAATAATTCACTCAAACGTGGATGCCCTGGCTCTGTCTGGTTGGCTGAGAACACGGAAACGTCTGAAACTTCCATATTACGTTGCATGTCGCTAGAGTTCATGGGAAATGTAGTATAATGGCAACATCAACTACAATATTCGTGGCATCTATGGTGTGAGTCTCAGACTACATTACCCAGCATCCACAGGGCGCCATGCAATGTTGACGTGTATTTTGTTGCTAGTCTGAAAAACTCGCATCACACAGCTGTCACAGCCGGACATCATTTAACCAAAACTTGGAACATTTGACCGACATTGTGTTATCTTTAAGCGGTTGGTGAGTTCGAAACAGTTTGTAACGATGTCCGGAGAAATCTCTATGATTGGTAAGTTAAATTATGGTTATTTCCACTCTGTAATTAGCCGGTAACAGTATGCTAACACATGAGCTAACTTGCTTGGTCCTCATCACCTGGTGTCCCGGTCTAGGTTCCGTTATCCTGGCCCTCTTCCTGGCAGGATACCTGGGTCAGCAGTACTTGCCGCCCCCCAAGCCCAGAGTGATCGGCCTGGATCTGGGCACCACCTTCTGCTCGGTCGGCGTCTTCCATCCTGGCAGCGGGGAGGTGGAGGTGATCGCGGATGAAGAGGGAAGGAAGAGCATCCCCAGCTCCGTCTCCTTCACCACCACTGCGGTGCTGTCCGGACATGAAGCCGTGGAGCTGGCCGACAACAACCCTCAAAACACCATCTATGATGCAAAGAGGTTCATAGGGAAGATATTTGAGCCGGAAGTCCTGGAGCAGGAGAGCGCGCGGTACCCGTTCAAGGTGGGTCGTGATGGGGTTAGTTCCCAGTGACTGACCGGAACTACTTTGCATGTGATTACAAATTAGCAGTGGTGGAAGAAATATTCAGGGGCTTGACTTTAGGAACAGTACCAATACATTGTCAAAAATACTTAATTAGAAGTAAAAGTCCTGCAAGTATTATCAGCAATATAAAGAACAACAAGTAAAAGTAATCATTGTGCAGAAAAATGGCCTTTATGCGTGTGTATAATTATATTTATATATGTGACATTTCTAGATAATATTGTTGCATCAAGTAGCATTTTACTGTTGTAGACAAACCAAGTTCTGAATGAATTTTTTGTAAAATATTTTAATTATTTTACTATTTTATGACTTAAAGAGTTAGTCCACTAGTATACATTTTAGAGATGCATTTTGTTAAAAGCAGCTTTAGCTGTTTAATGAATGTTGTGGAGGAAAATTACATTATTTCCCTTTTGAATGTAGTGGAGTAGAAGTGCAAAGTAGCATTACATGGAAATGCTCAAGTAAATTACAAGTATCTCAAACTTGCACTTAAATACAGTCAGTGCTTGAGTAAATGTACTTAGCTAATTTACCAAATAATCTTGAGATATCCCCTTACTCTCAGTTTTGTTATTCTATCATCATCACTGACTCTGCTTGTTTGTGCCTCTTTCAGGTGATAAACAATAACGGAAGTGCAGAGTTTGTGATCTCCACCAACCACACCTTCACTGTGAGTCCAGAGTTCATCGGCTCCAGGCTGCTGCTGAAGATGAAGAAGATGGCCGAGCGACAGCTGGACGTCCCCATCCAGAGGGCCGTCATCTCGGTGCCCGCGGAGTTTGATGAGAGACAGAGGAACTACACCGTGAGGGCCGCTAACCTCGCTGGTCAGTTCTCTTATTATTTAAGCTGATAGTTTAATATCTTTATGTGTCATTTGGAAAAGCTGCACCTGCATCTAAAACACATATAGCTACTGTTATACTTGGATATTTTTTAAATTAAAGGTCTCCTATTATACTATTTTTAGGCATATATTATAGGTCTCAGATATATATAAAAAACATGTCTATGAAGTGTTTTGCTCAAAATACCAAACAGATGTCCCATTCTAGCCATGCCTCATACCCCTCTATTTCAGCCCTGTTACTGAAGTGCTGATTCTGGGTCCGTAACTTTAAAAAAAAAGGGGGGAGCTTATGCAGGAGAATTCTACTCAGAGACTCAGCTAAATGCTGCCGTGATTAAACGCCATATCATGTTCAAAACCACATGAAGGATTATTTCTGAAACAGTATGGAGCTCAAACGCTTCTTTTGTGAGGTGAGTTCCTATATTTATAAAAAAGCTTTTTTACACATTTCCGATATTACGTCATATCGGCAGCGAATCTGGTTCAGCTCCGTTGTAGCTCCGTTTTTAGAGATTTGGGTACGGAGGAAAAAAGAGAGGGTTTTGTTGTCTGACACTTTGTGAGTTCCCTGACACACCGGACACATATTTATGTATAAAAGAAATAAAAAGTGCATTTTGCATGATAGGAGACCTTTAAGATCCATAACAGCCTTTCTTCCCCACACACATGCGCCACATTTGTTACATGTTTTCCCGTGTCCCTCAGGCCTGGAGGTGCTGCGCGTGATCAATGAGCCCACAGCGGCGGCCATGGCGTACGGCCTGCACAAGGTGGATGTGTTCAATGTGCTGGTGGTGGACCTGGGGGGGGGGACCCTGGACGTTTCTCTGCTCAACAAACAGGGAGGCATGTTCCTCACCAGAGCCATGGCAGGTAAGGACTCTCACTGACGCGAGATATGAGGTGATATGAGCCCGCTTTTGTCCGAAAATTGGAGCTTCAGCTTTCGTTGCACAGTTCATGTCCCAGTTAAAAGATTTAAGTATCACTTTCCTCTGTGTCACGCAGGGGAATTGTAAAATGAGATTAGATAGACACGTCCTTGAAGCAGAATCAGGTTTATTGCTGACTAGCTTCACACAATAAAGATATTTGCTCTGGTGTGAAAGGTGCATACATAAGAGGAATACGTCATGGAAAAGGAGCAATAATTGTGCTATTACAATTTATTTTTAAAATAAACACAAATATATATATGCAAAAAAACTAAGTACAGTAAAAATATGACAAGTACAATAATTGTACAAAAAGTTGCGAGTTTTTAAAAGAGGAAGTGTTGAACAGAAATATGCATAATATTCTGAGGGGTGTGCAGGACTCACAGAATAACATGAATAAGATTAGTTCACACAGTTCACTTAGATATTGGATCGTAATATGGCAATGTTGCATTTTCCCGGTTTTAAAGTAATGTCTTTTTCAAATGTTTTAGTCTTTGCCTTTTACCCACATCCCCTCCTTACTGATGATCACTCATCAAAAATGTCAGTGTTAATCTTTCTATGAAATGACCAATTCTCAACCCAACATATCGTCACAAAATCGAGGTATTAGGTCAAAATGATAGTGATAATTGATATACTCCATATCATCCAGCCCTAGGTCTGTGATCTTTACACTTTGAAACATAATCTGGGAAGTTAAACCTTGGTTCTGTTAGTTAGTCTGTCACACAGTGTTTAGAATTCGTTCAGACAATAATCAGGTCAAATGTAGCATCTATATATTCTGTAACGTCACAAAAAAAACTAGTATAAGTTAAATGTGTTGTTATAACCTTATCATGATTAAACTGTTTCTTGGCAGGGAACAACAAGCTGGGAGGTCAGGACTTCAGCCAGAGGTTGCTGCAGTACGCCATGGAGCGAGCCCAGCAGGAGTTTGGCGTCCCTCCCACTCTGAAAGAGGACATCCACCGCCTCCGTCAGGCCGTGGAAGCCGCTAAGCTCAACCTCACCCTCAACCCCAGCGCCTCCATCCGCGTCCCCCTGCACCTGCACACCCCCGACAGCTCAGAGACCCCCGGAGGCTCCTCTCCTCCTCCGGTTCTCTTCCAGACCGCCATCACACGGGAGCTGTTCGAGGAGCTCAACGAGGACCTCTTCCAGAAGATCCTGGTCCCCGTGGAGACCGTGTTGGCCGAGGGCCGCCTGGACAAACAGGAAGTGGACGAGATCGTTCTGGTGGGCGGCTCCACCCGGATCCCGCGGATCAGGAGGCTGATCAGCGAGTTCTTCGGGAAGGAGCCCAACACGTCGGTAGACCCCGACCTGGCCGTGGTGACGGGGGTCGCCATCCAGGCCGGCATCATGGGGGGGTCCTGGCCCCTGCAAGTGAGCGCCATCGAAATCCCCAACAGACACCTGCGCAAGACCAACTTCAGCTGATCAGTTATTGATGGAAACGATCAAAGGGATGCCGCAAAGACTTCAGAGCTGTTTCATGCTTTAATGATGTGCGTCATTTAAAACCTGCTGAAGTATGAGGAGCTGCCAACAAAACACTCAGGTTTTTAACTTGTGATTCTTGTAAGTGACGCATTTCACAACACAACATTCCCCTTAGACAGATTCTAACTGATAGCATCTGCAGAAGTGAACAGTCCTGTTTTGTTAAGGGACAGATTCTTTTATTTTGCACAAAGCTTCCGCAGAAAGAAAATAATGACTGAAAATGTGAAGGAGAAACTTCTCTGCGTCAATGAGGCTTCTTCATGGTAGATACTCTCATGGTGTTCAATTCAGGGAACAACCATTTCAAGGACTTACAACCCAGCCAGTAAAACTTCTGCTATTTATGTATTTATTTATTCAAAAACGGTGTGAGTGTAAAGGGGGAAACAGTGTGTTCCTGTTCAGAAAGCTGCTATACTGTTTGAAGTGGAGCGTGGAGGTGTAACAGTTGTTTAAAGATGTGTAATTCATTTCAAACAGATTCACAGCATTGCCTACAGACGAATCACCTCGATAATGAGTAGGTGTGGTTGACTCAGCTAATAGGTAAAAGCCTAACTATTCAAACAGTACTGTAACATCTCACATCACTGGCACCACCTCTCGCTCATGCTCAGTGCTGCACCGCCACTTGTTGACCAACTTTGTTTGTGCAATAGTGAGCCATTTGTGTAGAAGGGACTTCTGTTTGTGCTGCATGTGAGAAGTAGAAGCAGCAGCCTGCTTGTTCTGCTTTAGAATAAGATATACAGGTGACTATAGACCTGCAGGAGGACCAACGCTTTGCTTACCGGTGCTTTGTGGATTTGGAAAATGTGTTGAGTCACATTTTGGATGTTTGATGGACCTGATGAATGGGTTCGGTTGTTACGCCGCCTTCAATTTTGACAGAATTGTATTGAATAATTTACTTTGAAGAAAATTATCTTGCTCTTTTTGTGGTGGATTTTAGGCTGGTTACTGAAAATCCAGTAACGTCCAATACAACCATTTCCAACCAAGAACTCAAGTTACCTTCATTCCTTTTAAAAAAGTATTACAACTACATTTAGCCTAATTTCATTCATGAATCAGTTTATTTATTATATCGACTTTTTTTCTCATGTTGAAACTAAGACCTTGATATAATAGAGCCTTTAACTAAAGAAGCAGATTGCCTTTGATACCGTACATATCATTATTAGTCCCTTTTTGAAAGGGAGAAATTATGTAACTAAGATCTATTTTTATATGTCGTGTCATACTCACTGAAGTCCAGCCACCTCAACATTGATGAAGAAGTTTGAACTGTTACAAGCTGCAATTAAAATGATTTCCCTTCGCTAACTTTCTTGTCTATTTCATATTCCTGGGCTTTTCACACTCCTGATCCTCACATTTGAGAAAGAGGATGCTCTTGAGAACTTAAGGCAGTAAAACTATTTTTGATTTGATTCCAAATGTAGCATGGGCTCCCCTCTAAAAGAATAAATCTATGATAATGCAATTCATGTAAAATACTAACTTAGTGTGCTGTAACCTGGGCAACGGGATTTTTTCAGTAATGTCATTTAAACTAAGTTGCTGAAACACATTAAGAAATGAAATAAAAACAAAGTTTGGCTACATAAATAATGTATTTATTATGCCAAACTTATTTTAATGTTCTGTATCTTGGGCCAAAGTAACTCAAATCAATTGTAACAGTCATTGACACAAACGCTGTTTATAATAATGGTATTTTGGGTGCTTGACTATAAATGTTAAAATCTCCTTCTTCCTGCATTAAATGTGCCCATCTCATTAAAGTATTTGGCCCACACCCCTCCCAGTAAAATGAGTCTAGAACTGCAGCTGAAATGTAGTGGACGTTTTCTAAAGTCTAAAAATAAGACAGGATTACCGACTCACTTATTAAAAACACTGTCCGATTGTTGCTTTAATCCCCAGTTCCTCCTGTTCGCGTGTCATCATTGAAAAACAAACAAAAGTTTCAACTTAAAATCTCCTTTATTAGATCATTTTTTTGTATTGTTTACTTCTGAGGCACAGTAATACCCAAATAAAGAAAACACAAAAGGCAATCCATTTCCTTGACCCTGTGCTGCCTGTTGTGATCCCTGTAGCGTCCCTTCAAATAGCTTAGAGCTTTATTTTCACATTTAGCACCCACTTCAGCAGTCCGTTTGACACCAACCAGCACGTGGATGCATGCAGCTGTCAACAACAACAACACACTGCAGACTGTCCTGCGACTCAGAGGCAGTGCCATGACTTCCATCATGACCCGGATATTGCTTTTGTTCATCACGGTCACATTGTTCAATAATTATTTGTGAAATATAATGCTTAGTTGGCTTGAGCATCTCACACACTGGTTCACCTTCTTATGTACAATAACACACTCAACATAGCACTGCACACAGGGTAACACATATATACCCAGCCTGAATACACACTATACAACAATCACATCTTTAAAAAAAAAAAAAAAAGTCCAAACACATTCACATTAACCATAAAAAGACTGCACACATCTTCACCCCCCAACACATACATCAGCTGATATGATTATTAGTCACATGCACTGGTCAAAGGTGGGCATTCAGGCTCTTTCTCAATAATTATCTTACATACACCATTTGAATATTTCACCTGGAGGAGAAGGCAGGACTTCTGTAAACAGCTTGTTGGTGTTTTTTTGTTTTTCTCTTTAAATATAAATATGAATTAACAGCAGCACAGTGGAGTGCTGATGGAAGGCGCGAGGAGCGGTTAGCGAGTCTCATGCTGCGTTCAAGCCTCGTTAAAAGCTAAAGAAATCTGCCGCGAGAAGAAGAGTGGTTAAAAACAAGAAACTGCTTTGGGAAATTAGCATAAAATAAACAATCTGGAAACATATTTAAATGAAGCAGGCGTTAATTGTAACTCAGAGGGGCCTCTCCGGGCCACAGATTTGGCGACTCCCGTCAATAAAAAGTGCGTGTAGTCCCGTGTCATATACAGTAGTCTGACAAGCAAACTCAAAACTATTTACAGAATTTACACAACTGAGTGGTTGTTTTTTTTCTCTCCATCAGATACAGCAGTCTGTCAGTTTCTCAGCAGGACAGAGGTGGAGGTCAGAGGAATGATGAGTGGTCTGTCCACACAGGTCGGTTGATACCCTGGTTGCTTTAGTAGTCGTAGCCGTTGTCTTCGTACAGCTCCTCCCCACTGCCGACTCCATTCCCCACCTCTGGAGGGCGCCAGAGGAGTGAGACAAACAGTCAGTGTACTGGATAATGACATGCATTAAGCATCATGCAGGGCTTTAAAATAGGGGGGGGCTTAAAAAGAAAACAAGTATTGATATCATGCTAATAATACACATTATTGTTTGTGTCTAATATTAGGCCTTGTGGATTTCTTCATGCCTTTCCACAATGTATTATGTAATTGTTAGATGTGTGCAGTTGTGAGCAACTCTGTTCAAAGTATTGGTTCCTTTAGGGCTGCAGAATTTATGGAAATGTTATCAAAATCTCAATATGGACTAGTGCAATATTTAAATTGCAGTAGGAGCAATTCCCACTAACATTTCAAATCTTATCACAATTGCAAAATCAGTCAAAAAGAATCGCAATTATTTAAATTTCCAAAATTGTGTAGCGCTTCTTTGAGTTGGTAAATGTAAATGAATCAATCCTTGAGATGTATTACTTTTTGCACACTATGGCCCCGGTTTCTCTTTTATAGTACATGTACATTCGACCAGTAGTACTGCCCGCCCCATAACACGTATCTTTAAATGGACTACAAGTCATTTATAAGAGGAAATAGCCTAAGAATTTGCGTGCATTGATTCAACATCCCACTTGCATATACGTTATGTCATGACAGCATCTCAATCAAACAACGCACAATAAAGAAAGTTCAATATGGAAATGCTATAAATATCACGAGTTTAGTTGGGAATTATCATAGCAACTATCGTGAAGTGAAAATCTGATATTGTGACAGCCTAACTTTACAACCACATCATGTTTTCCCTTCTTATAGTATTTTAAAAGTACAGTAATCTCAATGGATAAGAACTTATTTAATCAAGATTTGAATTTAAGTTAAACATTTGTATTTCTACCCGATAGGGAAAAAAACAGACACGTGTCGGCAATGATGAACGCATTTCTGCAGTTACACTCAAATAAGATGTGAAAATAGGAGAAAAAGGAGCGATTGAGTAGAAAGTCGGGTGAAAATCATGAGCGGGAGAATTAGGTGGGACTGAAATGACTCACCTTTGACCCCCAGCTCTAGAGGCTGTCTAGACAGACTGGGGCGTCTATGAGCTCCCCTACACATGACGTAGTCTCCAGTGGGGGGGGGGCAGTGGGGGAGGATGGGGTGCATGAAAGGATGGGATGGATGATGGAGGGGGGGGGGGAGTGTAGTGTAGTGTAGAGGAGTCAGGTAACGAGGGATGCAATGGAATAAAAGGAAGTAGTCCCTGCTGGTGGAAACATGGAGAGGAGGTGGAGCACATCACACAGGCCGCTACTGGGGGTGACCTTCAACAGGAGAGGAAGAGGAGGAGCGTTCACAGACAGATGCATGCTGGGATGCAGAGACATGCTTATGATTCCTCATCTTTAGGTTAACAGACGAGAGGAATTTCAAAGTCACAACAAACAACAACAACAACAACAACAACAACAACAGGGTACAAAACATCCGGGGCGTGAACACGTCCTCTGGCTGCGAGGCTCTCACCTGAGAAGATGAGTTTCTCCTTCATCACGTTCAGGTCTCGGCTGGACCTCCGGACGGCGGCCGCGCTCAGCATGATCTGCTCCGGGTTGTAGCTGCGCATGCCGCTGGTTCGATACCTGGGGGGGGGGGCACGGTTAGGGTCAGAGGCCGTCTCAAGAAGCAGCGCTCAGGTGCTATGCTCCATGCATCTGGATGAGCTACCAGAAAACTGCAGGACTGCTGCTCTCCTTTTAAATCAAGGAGGAAGAATTTCCTCTTTGCAGTTATCTTTTATTAAATTAAATAACTCTTATATCTGAGACTTTTTCTTGCATTTTAAATCTGTATCTTATTCTATTTTAGTTTTTTTATTTATTTGTATTCTCTTGTTTTTTTTAATGATTGTTCTCAAATGTAATTGTTGGTTTGTTTAGCACTGTGTCTTGATGCTTTTAATGTTTTTTTTAAAGCACTTTGAATTGCCTTGTTGTTTAAAAGCGCTACATAAATAAACTTGGCTTACCTTGAGTCAACAATTACATCCCTAAATAATGCAGTTTGTAGCTCAGGGACAGTTTTGGTCCGTAGAGGGAAAACTTCTACAGTTCAAAAACGAGCTACATGCCCAACTCATTGTTAGTGTATCGTGCAGAGCCTTAAGATGAACACTAAACAATGAGGACCTTTTGAATAAGGCACTCTTTATTAGGTGTGTATTGTTTCACTGACAGGTTTCTTAATGGTTGATCCATAATGTACTACTCTTACTTCAAGAGTCAGTAAGACATTATGTGTTGATAGGTTGTGAACAATCCAATCGCAGGTATTTATCTGGAAGTAGTAATAACTATATTCTGTATTATGTCCTCTTTAGCCCTTTCCAGAAAGTGGTTAAACGGTCCGTTAGTTAAATAGATTATTATTTAAAACAGTGTGATCTGCAAATAACACTTTGCAGAGATTCAAAAAATATATGTTTTCAGTTGAAAGTCATTGTTCATGGTGCCCTGCATTTACTATATATCTATTGAATATACTTTCTGGATGAATAATAATTAATACAATTAAATACAGTCTCCAGTCTGTATTTATTGAATCATTATTTGTGTGTCAAAGCAAAGAGATTCATTTCCTGCACGTGAAAGCGGTGCCTTTTCTTCAGTGAAAGCAACTTTGACTTCAATGAATTAACTTATAACTCTGAAGCGTTGCTCAGAGTAACTGGAAATGCAAAAGAGCAAGCTCTTAGCTGGTCAGCATCAATCAAAGTCTATTCTGAGGCACTTCCCCTGATCAATGCACAATCCTACTTCATTTGGACGTTTAATCGTTGGGCTTAATAAGATGGAGAATACATTTAAATCTCACTGGCGACTTAATGCTGCGGATATGTTGTGCTGTGTGGGTGGAAAGCATTTTATTAAGCCCGTAGGGATAAGGATGTGAGCTTCTTCCTCTAGAGGAAGGATGCAGCAGTGCAGTACAACGATTCAGGTGACATGGAGACAGAGAAAATAAATATAGGAAGAAAGGTAGAGAGAAAAGTCTGATGAAGTTTAATGTCAGAACAGAGAGAACGAAAAGTCAACTGAGAACGAAATGGGAAAAAAAGTCCAAAAAATGCGAGAAAAAAAAGACCGATGGATAAAGATGAGACAGAAAGAGTGAAAGGAGAGAAGACGTTGGGTCAGGAGAGGTGACCCAGTTACCTGATCATGTGATAGCTGAGAGAAGAGGCCAGAATGCAGCAGAGGAGGAGAGCATGCACATCAGGCAGAGGAAGAGGACGAGGAAGAGGCGGAAAAGGACGCAAAAAGGACAAAAGAAGGCAGGAGACAAGAGAGGTCAGTTTAAAAGCCAGCAGGAGCTACAGAAGAGCAGAGCACCGGATCGTAGAGAAAGAGACCAAACAAAAAGGAGAGATCTCTGCCCTTCATCTCGGAAGCCATCTGTCTCTCTCCAACGCAAAGAGCAAAGGCTGCCGTCGGGTTTACATCGTTTAGCTTAGACAACACATGCTCATAGGATGGTCTTCAGGGGGAGAACACAGCAAAGAGACATCATTACAGTTTGCACACCACACCACACACAATGCCATTTGGTCAGCGGCTCCTCTGTAGGGTCATTATTGGCAAAGTATTGTTTTTAAAGGGATCAAAACACAAGAGAGCAGCGTCATTATGTACGAGCTGTTAGTTTGGGTTCAGGTCAGGTAGATTGAGAAAAAGTGTGTTGCATTGCATGGGAGATTTAAGAGAAGAGCGTTCGTTAATATTCAGTATTTAGTGACAGAATACACGGAAAACAAAACCAAAGAGCAGTCTTTAGTTTCCTCTTTGTCATTGAGTGGCTGTACTTACTTCTGGAAAATGAATATTCCTATGACTACAGCGAAGGAGATGAGGTCCACAGACACCCACATCAGGCAGTATTCATCTGGTCTCTGGAAACACACACAGACACACACGGTCATGGCAGAATCCACCACTGGGTGGCGCCTTGTGTCAACCAAACAATCGGTTATGTGAGCAGCCCCGTTCAAACACACTTTGATTCATAAATCTATATTAAAGTAAATACATTTGAATTGGGAAACAGGGGATGATGCAGTCCCTTAAGGTGTGCATTCATGTCAAAGTGTATTCATTGCACTTTAACACAATCCCAAAAACGGTCAGTAATGTAATATAACAAGTTGAGAACCTGCATAAATACATGTTACCCCCTTAAAGGGTATGAACACAGGCTTTTCCGTCAATGTACGTCCACTAACGCTGCTTGTTTTGCCACTAACAGGCTTGTGTTGTTATTATAAATTCCAACACTATGGACAATAACATAAATGAATTCACTATATCCTTCTATGGATGTGTACTGTTTTGTATTGTGTCCCACTCAAGGAGTAATCTCATTCTGAAATCACGCGATAAGACGTGACTTGGAGTCAGTGAGACTTGGGGAGCAGCTTTGCGTTATCGAAAAGACTTTCCATGTTAGCTGATTTATACGATGTGGATGAGTCAAAAGCCTCTCCTCGAGCAATACTTGGTTAGACATAATGATAAAACAGACTAGATCAAGCACAAGGTAGAGAAAGATGAAACACGATTTGAGCTTTAATAGCAAAACAAGCATTGACTTTAACACCACCCAATGGCAGATTTCCCTTGACTTCACAGTTGACAGCAGATGGCCCAGCAGATTAAAGTCTTCCTGAACCACAGCGGAGGGGCCGGGGTCACTTCCACATGTTGTCATGCAGGGTCCCCATATGGTGCTACAGACGGGTAGAGCAGGCTGGTGAAACGATAGCAGAGCGGCACAGTGTGGGTGCTACCCAGGTTTTCAGAAGGAGATTGAACTAGAAAAGATGAGTCATCCACTACAGTGATAGTGCACTTCATTCTACAGTGCAGAGACCTCGAATGAGTGTTTCAAACTTAAGAGTATATTATGCTCGCTGCAGGAAATAAAGGAGTTTGGTTGAAAGCTAAGAACCCTTGTTGGTATTATTTGTTAAAATCTCGTTTAGTCATGCAGAGGTGAGGAAGCTTAAGGAGAGGAGACAGGTTGTCATCTAATACCATCACATGATACAACCTATAGCCAGTTAATGAGAGATTTTACACTTTGAAATCCTGTTACCAAGCAGATCTTACAGGCTGGAAGGTCAAATAGAAAGACTATGGTGGAGAAAAGAAAGCCTCACACTTTACACGCAAAGAGTCAAAGAAGAAGCTAAACAGCATGTCCTGTGTCCTTACCATGAGCCAGATGGGGTAAGGCACCTTTTTGAGTATATGTGAGGCCTCGGAGGAGACGGAGGACACCCCGCTGCACCAGAGCACCGAGTACAGCCAGGGCTCGTTGATGGTGTACAGCGTGATGCTGATGTTGCTCTGGGAGAAGTTTCTGAAGGAAAGGAAGAAGAAAAGTACATTTTATTATTACATTGCATTTAGCTGACGCTTTTTATCCAAAGCGACTTCCAATAAGTGCATTCGACCAAGAAGATACAAACTTGAAGAAAACAGAATCATATAAGTACATCAGGTTTCATAGAGCCAAAACATTTCACGTGATACTCAACTGGCTTTAGATAAGCCAGTCCTTTGTTAGTATATAAGTGCTTTGTTAATAATTCTATCGCTCGAAGTGGAGTCTAAAGAGATGAGTTTTCAGTCTGCACCGGAAGATGTGTCAGCTTTCTGCTGTCCTGATGTCAATGGGGAGCTCATTCCACCATTTTGGAGCCAGGATAGCAAACCGATGTGTTTTGCTGATGTTTTGATTTGCTTGGGTCCCCCCTCGCATGAATCCCATAAGGGCACGTCTTTTAATTTAAATCTGTGTGGAGCTGTGCCCACCTGATAACAGTAGCAGGTTCATGTGTGTGTTCCTACCCGATCTCCTGCGTGCTGGCCTGGTTGTATCGGAGCAGCAGCCGGCTGATGCCGTCCAGATGGAGGCGCTGGAGTCTCCGTTTCTCCACTGAGGTCTGGATCAGACCGGGGGCCAGCTGCCTCACCTGAGCTCTGTGTTCATCTGGAGTCCACATCACCTTCACACAGCACAACATACACTGTTCTTACACTGGTCCCAATCACACTTTGTGTCATTTATCACATCATTAATGAAGCGTGGTCTGAATGAACATACATAGTAAAAGGAAATCACCAAGACAGGAGGTAGTCGTGGAAGCAACCTGTCAATCACAAGATAGCCTTGCCATAAAGCAGGGGGGGGGGCCTTTGGGCCGTATATGGTCCGCGAGACCATTTGATACGGCCCTGGAGGTAATTTATAATCACACCCAAAAAAATAAGAATTAAGTAGCCGTACACATGCCGCAGTTTTTGCGTGGCTGTGTCTTTAGTTGAAAGCCCAGTGGCATCTGTTCATCTGTCATACTGATCATACAATAACGCCATCGAAAAGAATATGCTACATTACAGTGGAACTACTTCTGGGTCTTTCTGTGTCATTCAAGCTCGGCTGTGTGTGTGTGTGTGTGTGTGTGTGTGTGTGTGTGTGTGTGTGTGTGTGTGTGTGTGTGTGTGTGTGTGTGTGTGTGGCACGAGCGCATTTTGTTTAAGCAAGCGAGAGAGAGCGGTACAGGGGATTGTTAGCATCTGGTTAGCTAGCTATGCTAACGAATATAAGGAGCTTTTTCTACAACCAGGTGGAAGAGAGCTCTCTCCTGACAGAGGCTCAGATAACCTCAGCTCAGTGAGGTAAAGGCACACCTTGATATGATCATTATAGTTATAACAAAAATAAGAGAATAAATGAAAAACAGGTATAAAATACTATGACGGTAAAATAAAGTTGTTATTAATAAACAAGAATACAGTTTAAAAGGAGAGTGATTTGTAAAATATCCCTAAGCACTTTGGTCAACGTGGGTTGTTTTTAAATGTGCTTTATAAATAAATGTGATTGATCGATTGATAAAGAAAAATAAAATCTGCTTCCAGTTCTGTTTCATATGGGTGTTGAGAGATGTATCCATAGATCTCCTAATGTTGCTCTCAAAGTGCACCAGATTGATGCTTTTAACTTCAACATTTAAAAACAAATCTTCCTGGGGGAGCATGCCCCCCGGACCCCCCTAGAGGAGGTTAGGGGACCCCCCTAGAGGAGGTTAGGTCCACCCCCCACTTAAATCATGTTCACATGGATAGGATACTAAATACATTTGCACACATCTTGTGTCCATATCTTTCAGTTTTGGTGGTGATGCCACAACCGAGCACATGCATGCGTGCGCGAGTCATGGTGAGATATCTGGATTAAGAGGTTGATTTTTTTTTTGCACAGCATGAAAGAAAAGCGAAATGAATGCATGCTTCTGCATTGAAACTACCTTGAAACTAGTGATTTCGACAATATACTGGTCAGGAAAATGATTACTGAGGAAATAACTCCTGGGATTGGGGTCTGGGAGTATGGGAGAATAAATCCACACATCTAGCTGCTCAAAATAGATATGTAGACATACTGCTATGGAATCAACACAACGCGGATCGAGTGTATCTAAGCCTTCAGTCCCTACTCACCAGGCTCTGAGGAACCCCAGATTCCTGCACAGCCTGCAGTGTATCATTGATCCAGCTGTCGTAGCAGGGGTGCTCCGGAGGGGGTCTCCTGAGCCGGAAAACCACCGTGCTGTTGTGATAGGAAGCCAGCCGCAGAAGCTGCTCCAGGCTACACACGCTCTGATTGGCTATCAGCCGCTTCTCACGCGACGACAGGGTGTGCACCGTCCAGAAAGGGTCATCCTGAAACACAGGAAGGGAGATGCATGAGGACGAGGATCAGATATATGTTTAACACAGGTCTCAGTTTTATTACAGTTACAAAAATAAACAAAATAGTATATCATAACATTAAGTAATTTAATTTACATTTTTTGAAAATCTCTAAACCTGCTTTCTTTATCCTAGTTACTCTAAACTAAAGCTTCCATCCTTTATAAGTAGTGCGTATGGAAGCCTACAGCAGATACATTTAGTGGAATATATTGTATATATATTCCTTGTTTCCTTCACATCCCTTCTTGCTTCACTGCTCCCTGTCAAAGGATACAAGAGAAGGAGACGAGATGCATCGTATATAGGTCTTCCATAGTGTGCTTCACTTCCTTCCTTTTTGCTCTGTCATCTTAACATTCAACATGTTAATACAGATCAGGACAAATATACACGTGGACATCATACTATGGCAGATAATTGTCATGATTATGCACCTTGAAATCCAGCTCACATGCAATGGAGAGAGACTGAGAGCGAGTGTGGAAAACAATTTAGATTGAGACAAATGTTGACGTAGCAGAGGCATCACGGCCAACTGTCTTTGCACGCTAACCTGAATGATGAAATATAAACTTCAGAAGATCAAACTGTATTTCAAAACAACATGAATTTGAACCTACATTTAGAGTGCATGAATTTAAATTGAATAGAAAGCAAATACATGGCCGGAGGGTGCTGTAGAAAACACAGCAGAGTATCTCAGTTCATGAAAAGCAATGTTTCTACATCACTGCATCTTGGTCAAGTTTATTCTGATTCTCTTTCTCACAGAATGTGAAATAACATGGATTTACACAATCTGCAGCAAGTGGCTGAACAAGAATAAAGAAGCAGGTCAATTTGACATTTCTTGTAGAGTATGGTATGCAGGGAAGAATAATTCAGCAGGTTGAAACCAAACAATTATTTTGAAGCACTAGTTGACCGTCTGCAAACAGAAGCTAATGACCTTCATCTCACATCACTACACCACAGAGCGCTGTCGAGCAGTTCAAATGGCTTCAGCAGCCACTAACTACCTTGAGGAACCACTGTCCGGCGTTGAGCTGCCGCAGATCTGTCCAGTTGAAGGATGAGGCGTCTTGCATGTGTCTGTCGGGGAACACCTTCCCCACGTCTGTGGTCCTCCGCAGGGTGCGGTCGTGCATCAGGAAAGGCACTCCGTCCACACTGATGATCAGAGGTGGGAGCAGAGTTAGGAGATGCACTTTACGGTAAGGCAACATCTAGATATTTGTTTTGAACCCGCTGACATCAAATACAAGAACAGGGCCACACATATTTTTAGAATAATTCAACCTGAGCAAGCTTAAAAAGGACTCAAAAGGATCATCAGAGTTAACTGTCTCTCTAGTGAAGGCTTGAAGGAATAACAGCTCTCAAAAGGATGTCATATTTATTCAGATAACAACAGAGAAAAGACTTGGTTGGAGCGGATAAGTCTTGAAATAATGGGAATAGAGACAAGACAAAAGTGAATTGTGAGTCTTTATTTAAAAAAAGCTGCTGATCAATATTTGAATACCAAATGACTTTGGTATGACGAGAGAAAATAAAAATGCCCTCCCATTACTTAATATTTGCATATCAAATTCTTTACAGACAAAACAATGCCTTCCCTGTGTGGATACAAGTGTGTGTGGATACAAGTGTGTGTGTGTGTGTGTGTGTGCGTGTGCGTGTGTGTGTGTGATCTGCTGGAGTCTCACTGGCGCTCTGGCTGTCATCAAGTCTAATTACTCAGCACAGCCAGGAGCTCACCTGTCAGCGGGCTGCACCAATCACACAGCCAGTCACCTCTACTGTACAGTGAGCGAACACACACAACCACAAACACACACCGACACACACACACAACCACAAACACACACCCACCGACACACACCCACACCCACCCACAGGTTTCTCATACAGGAATAGAGTCAGAATCAAAGATGACAAAACGTGGAGTCTAAACAAAAGCTCTAACTCACAACAGGGCAACACCCCCCCACACTTTTATATAATCAGTCATCTTCCATCACTGCACATGCATGAGTAGACATGTACAGGAACTATCCATGGCCATACAGAACCCCCCCCCATTTTTTCTCTTCCCTCCCTCCCTCCTCTCTTCTTCCTCCAAGTGTGTCTCTCTGAACATAGTCTGTCACCTCCCATTATGTGATGTCGTGCCTCTATCTACTGCCTGCTGATAGAGGGTAGCGTCCAATGCTCTATTATTATGAATGTTATACACACACACACACAAATGTGTGACTGTTGTAGAGAAAATCCCAAGTACAGTATGTGTTTAGATTGTTATTTACGAGACTTTTATGATGAAAGAATATTTAGCCTTGCCCATTTCCCTTTGACAAAAAACAATACACAGTTGATTGTCGACAGTTTTATCAGGGAATCAACACATGTGTGTCCATGTAAGGAAGGTCTGATTTAAAAAGTTTTCTCTCCTTGACTTTTTTTCCTGGGTAATCTTTCTAAGTGGCTCCATTTTCTGTCACGTCTGACGAGAGAGTAACACAACTTGCTAACACAGAATATGTGTACCTTGTGTTTAAAGTACATAGAGATATTAAAACTCAGCATGACAGAAACATGAATGCTTTTAGTCATATTTAAAACACGGGGCAGTGGGACAGGTTAGCTTCGTGTGACCAAAGTTAGTACCACGACAACAAACACGTGAAAAGAAGAAATCACCTGCCAAAACATTTTTGTTATTGTTTTAAAGACACATTTTTCCAGAGCGACCCGGAAGGATTATCCCTGCCAAATCCCTTTCTTAATTCATACAACAAAAATAATTAAGATCAGACTTTTCAAACTTGATTGTTTTTGTTCTTATTTGCCTCTCTTGGCTTCCATAAACCAAACAGCGAGGCAGAATGTAGGGATACTAAATAACTCCTTATCTATTTATTTGGTGTGTGTACCTGATAGCCACGTCAGCCTCCAACCCGGTGACGTTCATCTGCAGAGCGCGTTGGAAAGACCACAGTGTGTTCTCTGGAGCAAGCTGGACACACACACACACACACACACACACACACACACACACACACACACACACACACACACACACACACACAATGAAGTCATCTTACAATGACCTCATCAGAAACTGAAAACCCTACCACTGCTGAAGAAAATCACAGATAAAATGCTGATTATTATTATTATTATACATATGATCAATTAAGTTGTGTTACAACATCAAAAATAAACGTGAATGTGGTGCATCATAGATGTGAAAATAGACTCCTTCCTTTTGAATGAAATGAAATGGAGCAGAGACGAGGATTGCTCTGTAACTCAAGTCAAGGCTATGACTCATATCACACCATTAGGTTAACATCACTTACTAGAAAAGCATTTTCCTATGAGACCGTGTGAGTAAAGCTAATGATTTGGAAACACAGGAGAGGAGTAATGCCGTAATCAATACAGAGTCCTTCTGGTAAACAGATGTCAGTCATGTGACCACGTTTTTCACAGCATCGCAGAACCACTCCCAATTTTAGATTCCGCTGTAAGGATCGATCGCTTAACACAAATACCACAAACAGCAGCAGGGTGTGTTTTTGGATCGCGCGAGTAACTGTCACGAATAACCAGGAATCCTCCTTCATTTGTGTTGCATAACACTGAGTGAGACGCTGTGCCAAGAACATCAATCACTCTTCAGGTAATATTTAGAAGCTATAACATGAATCCAAGCACATAAATCAAATATAAAAAGCAAAAATGTGCATTAATCAGATTTGAACATGGCCTCCTGATGCATACTTAACTAACAGGCTGTAATAAGAGTTTAAGATGTTAGCTGTGAGAGAGATGATGTGAAGTGATGGCAGTGAATGTGATTATTAGTAATAGAGATGTCCCGATCCGATCACGTGATCGGGGATCGGAGCCGATCACGTGATTTTCAAAAGATCGGAATCGGGAGGAAAAAAATCGTGGATCGGGATTTTCTTTTTTTTTTCTTAAATAATTTTTTTTTTACATTTTTATTCAATGTTACAAAACAAAAATGACCATGTTCAAGTCTTAAAGTAACATTGAATAAAAATGTAAAAAAAAAATTATTTAAGAAAAAAAAAAGAAAATCCCGATCCACGATNGTGTGCCTTGGCTGTCCTAGCTTCATGTATACCTTACAGACATGAGGGTGGCTTTCGTGTCTGCAAATAAGCACACGTCCCAACCTTCAACGTTTGTTATCACACCCTATATATCAGTCACAATTGTATTCTGGTCTGTCTTCTCTCAGTGTTCCTGGTGGTGGTGGTGCTGCTGTATCTCAGTGTGCTGCTGGGTCTCTACGTGGTGCCGCTGTACATCTCCTCCCCTTGCATCATGGACCCCAGCACCCTCAAACAACGCCCTGATGTCATTGGCCACCAAGGAGCCCCCATGGTGAGTCTGCTGACAACTACCAAACATCTGAATGTGGTAATAAACCAGGCAACAATAAACAAATAGTATTTTCACATCTTTCACATCTTTCACACGCTCTACCTGCCTTTAATATGTGGTGTCAAAGATTGTGATTTGGAAAAGGCAGAAGGAAAACTGCCTACAGATGTTTTTTTCTCTTGTTTTTTCTTCTTCTGCGATTCCCAGAGCTATTCTAGTCTATTAATGACCTTGGTGTAGTGCAACTGAAAATAGTCGACAAACATAACCCAGTGGGAGCTTTGCGCTCTCACTGTGTGATGTATGGGAGGGAAATATGTTCTACTGGATTTTTTTCTGCAGTTGTGTCTTGCAAAGACTTAGGAACTTGCTGTGAAGGAAAATCGATTTAGACATTACTAATAATCACATTCACTGCCATCACTTCATATCATCTCTCTCACAGCTAACATCTTAAACTCTTATTACAGCCTGTTAGTTAAGTATGCATCAGAAGGCCATGTTCAAATCTGNCTGAGAGAAGACAGACCAGAACACAATTGTGACTGATATATAGGGTGTGATAACAAACGTTGAAGGTTGGGGAGTGTGCTTATTTGCAGACACGAAAGCCAGCCTCATGTCTGTAAGGTATATATGAAGCTACGACAGCAGTCAGCTAGCT